GTGCTTGAATTTATACACCTGTGGCCATGGAAGTGATTGGAACACCTGATTCCAATAATTTGGATGGGTGAGCAAATACTTTTGGCAATATAGTGTATCTTCCGTGACATAATCATCATGGATAACACTGCTCCAGTCTCCAACAGTGGGAGCTTTACTGGTTTTCTTCCCAGAAGCCAACAGTAAACTAAACATTTAGCTTTTCCTTTCTCTTCTCTTCGCAAGATAACGACAGTAGGAGGAAAAATTTCTAACTTTGGGATTAATTCCCTCCAGATAATAGATTTGCCAAATTCTTCAAACAGATTTTGAAGATGGCTGCTATGGAAACCAGTAGATTTTTCAGCCTAAGTCGAGTGTCTTTCAGGGAGTCTGATCTTTGGTTTAAGTTGCTGCCTCTAATCAGCTATTCCTGGTGTCTTTTCATTAAATCCCTAATTTGCTTATGAAATGTCCAGTTTGATCCTGATGGAGCAAATACATAAAAGATAACCTAAGAGCCTTTAATTCTACTGCTGATGGTTACATAACATCCTCCGTTAACAAGTATTTCAGAGGTTATTTCTAAGTGACTTGGTGCGAAATGAAAATTACTGATCCCCTCCTGCGCCCAGACTCCTATGAAACAGAGAAAGTCGTTAAAACCTTTTCTGGTCAGTTTTAAATGTTCCAGATTAGAGCAATGTGTCTCATGCAGAAAAAAAAAAGTGTTTCATTTTTCTGCTACTCATTTTGGTCAGTTTGTAATTGATTAGTATTCTGAGACCGGGCTGCTCAGTGGAGCAGTGGTTAGCACTGCTGCCTTGCAGCAAGAAGGTTCTGGGTTCAAATTCCTGCATGTGTGGTTTCTCTCCGGGTACTTCGGCTTCCTCCCACAGTCCAAAAACATGATTTTTAGTTTAAATGGCTTCTCCAAATTCTCCAAAGGGCTAGCCCGTCTGCAGCGGCCAGGGCTAACGTTAGCCTCTCTGCAGCGGCCAGGGCTAACGTTAGCCCGTCTGCAGCGGCCAGGGCTAACATTAGCCTCTCTGCAGCGGCCAGGGCTAACGTTAGCCCGTCTGCAGCGGCCAGGGCTAAAGTTAGCCTCTCTGCAGCGGCCAGGGCTAAGGTTAGCCCGTCTGCAGCGGCCAGGGCTAAAGTTAGCCTCTCTGCAGCGGCCAGGGCTAAGGTTAGCCCGTCTGCAGCGACCAGGGCTAACGTTAACCCGTCTGCAGTGACCAGGGCTAACATTAACCCGTCTGCAGTGGCCAGGGCTAACATTAGCCTCTCTGCAGCGGCCAGGGCTAACTTCAGCCTCTCTGCAGCGGCCAGGGCTAACGTTAGCCTCTCTGCAGCGGCCAGGGCTAATGTTAGCCTCTCTGCAGCGGCCAGGGCTAACTTCAGCCCGTCTGCAGCGACCAGGGCTAACGTTAGCCTCTCTGCAGTGGCCAGGGCTAACTTCAGCCCGTCTGCAGCGACCAGGGCTAACGTTAGCCTCTCTGCAGCGGCCAAATGTTCATTTGATTTGTGTTTATCTGACTGTCTTCATTATTATTCCTCCACTAAATGAAAAAAAATAATTTATTATTATCTAGGGACTATTAATAACAGAAGTTGAAACGCAGCATCAGACGAGTTGAACGTGTGGTGATGTCATCACTACGCTTCTGTTCCAGTTGATCCAGATTTATTCTGCGTGCTCCGGTTCTCCCAGAGTCCAGACTTTCCTGGGTTCTTCTCAACAACAGACCTGGCAAGGACACGAGTCTTTACTCGCATTATAGTGAATTGAGAAATGGCCACTGATTTCAGACTCTCCTCTTCTCCTGTAGATTCGACCGATGCAGTAAAATGCTAACCAACCAATTGGCAGAAAGGTGACCCTTTAAGCCATGCCACCTACTCATTTGCATAATGAGGCAGAAATAAATAGCATGGAAGAAATATATAAGGTAAAAAAATACAAAGGAAGAATAAAACAGACTAATATATATTATAACATGCACATAAATAAATACTTGAGTAAGAAATAAAAAAAAGTTGAAGATTATAATGGACAATAAGTAAATAAGGTAATTATTACAGAGGAGAATAAATAAAGAGGCTAATTCAAAGATATATATACATTTATGTCTCACTGTATAATTTAATTTCTACATTTATTTGTCTATTGTATTTCTGGGGATTGGATGGGATTAAACTGATTTCAGATAATAAAGTAAAAAATCTTGGTGTTGTTTTTGATCAGGACCTGTCATTTAGGTCCCATATCAAGGAGGTTTCTAGAATTTCCTTCTTTCATCTGAGGAACATTGCAAAAATTAGAAATATCCTGTCCAGGGGTGATGCTGAGAAACTAGTCCATGCATTTGTTACTTCAAGGCTGGACTATTGTAATTCTTTACTATCAGGAAGTCCACAAACTGTAGTTAAAAGCCTTCAGCTGATCCAAAATGCTGCAGCCAGAGTTCTAATGAAAATTAAAAAGAGAGATCATATCTCTCCTATCCTGGCTTCTCTTCATTGGCTTCCTGTTAAATCAAGAATAGAATTTAAAATCTTCCTTCTCACATATAAAGCCTTAAATGGCCAAGCTCCATCTGATATCAGAGATCTGATTGTTCCTTATGTTCCTAACAGAGCACTTCGCTCTCAATCTGCAGGTTTACTAGTGGTTCCTAGAATTTCTAAAAGTAGAATGGGAGGCAGATCTTTTAGTTATCAGGCTCCTCTCCTGTGGAACCAACTACCAGTTTTAGTCCGTGAGGCAGACACCCTGTCTACTTTTAAGGCTAGGCTTAAAACTTTCCTTTTTGATAAAGCTTATAGTTAGAGTGGCTCAGGTTATCCTGAGCTATCTCTATAGTTATGCTGCTATAGGCTTAGACTTTTGGAGGACATAGGGACCCCCATTTCATCATTCTGCTTCATTCTCTCTCTGTTCTCCTATTCTGCAGAATCTGTTAGTTCAATCTCTAACCTTCTGCTCTCTCTGCTTTTCCTCAGAGTAGCTTTGCCTCGTCTGTTCCTGTTTGGCTGTGACGTCATCCTGGAAAGAAACATCAGCTGTGCTGCTTCTATCAACACCCTTGTTTATAGATGTTGGAGATCGGCCTGTTTTCCAGTGTGGTCCTGTTTCTCTGACCGTGACTAAGTGGATGTGCTTTCTTCGTCCTCTGGCATGGGAGCTGCCTTGGAGCTCGTCTGCCTGGCTGTGTGTTTCCTGGACGGGGCCGCCTTTTACAGCTGCTTTTTGTATCTCTGCTTCTGTCTCCTTGAACCCCAGTGGGCCTCGGCAGATGGCCGCTCACACTGAGCCTGGTTCTGCTGGAGGTTTCTTCCTGTTAAAAGGGAGTTTTTCCTCTCCACTGTCGCTACAAGCATGCTTAGTGTGGGGGATTGTATTTGAGTCAATGAGTCAATGCAATCAACTGGTTTTCCTTAGATAGAAAACTTTGTATCAATTTGACTGTATGATCTGGTTGAACTGTAAAGTGCCTTGAGATGACATGTGTTGTGAATTTGGCGCTATATAAATAAACTGAATTGAATTGAATTGAATTAATTGTATGCTTATTAATTTATCGAGCATTTATTTATTTCTGTATTTATTTTTAAATATGGCAGAGTTGGTCCTCCATACGTCCTAGTATATAAGGTAAAACTAAATAAATATGCAGAAAAGCCATGGCTAACCTAGGGCATTTAATAAGCTTGAACAAAGAAAAATAAACTGTATAAAGATTGAAAAATAGAACTCAGGAAACAGAACAAACATATAGATCCTATAAGAATAAACCAAGTTAAATATATATATATATATATATATATATATATATATATATATATATATATATATATATATATATATATATATATATATATATATATCTTGTACTGTTTCTTAGTTTTGCCTTACCTGATGTACAGTATTGAGGTTATAAAGCTAATTCAAACCCTTTGGTAATAATTTAAAGCGTAAACAAAGATAATGGAGGATGAGCTCAGTGAAGACGCCGCTAACAGGAAAGGAAATGACATCAGTTCCTCCTGTGGAGCCGAGCGAGAGCAGAGATGAAGCTGACAGCGTGATGTCAGAGTTGAGCGCGCAGCAGAGCGGTTTATAGGGAAGGTGTGCGAGTTTAAACGATCCCCGTTTTTTCCCGCTGCACGCTCAGATCAGTGGAACCAACATGACGCCATAGATGTTGATCAAAGGAACAGGAAATGCAAAGTTAGTCTGCAGACTGTGGGGAATAACCAGAGTAACACATCCAGCCTCCTGCAGCACAGCCACGCTGTGGAGGTCCAAGGTCAGCTAAAGCGATTTCCTCCTGTTCAATTGGACACTGATGAATGTTTAAACCTGAATGGCTTCAAGACTTTAATATTTAATAGAAAGTAATATGTAATGTGATTAATTCAATAACTAGATTATAAATAGATCAGCTGCCTTTCCTGCACTGGGCTTTATTTCTGCTAGAGGAGCGTTTATGGAGGTTAAACTGCCCAGTTTATCCTATAGATGTGACTTGGTGTGGGAGGGTGACCATCAGAAGCTTTTTTTGCTTCTGCCAATACATCCATTTACAGACATTTTTTCTTTCCTTTATGTTACAATGACATTTACTGTCATTCATTGTAAGTTTGTGTGTCTGCAAATTAACCAGCAGCCGAATGAATAAGCTGCCATTTTGAGTTGATATATTTGTAAATCTGCCTCTAACCTCACGGTACGTCATGGTCCCGGTTGACACCATCTATTCATCACAAGCTCTGCCAACCCACCTCCTCTCAGTCTGTAAATGACCAACCGCTCCTACCTGGTTGATCTCCTCCTGGGTGGACTTGAGGGAACTGATTATGGTTTCAAGCTGGATCTTTCCAGCTGCCAGGTTCTGCTCCAGCTGTCGCTCCTCCTGGTGCAGTCTGTCCAGGTCAGCCTTGGCCCGGCTCAGCTCCTCCTCCTGGCTCTGCAGGTCGGACTCCTGAGAGTGGATCTGACTCTGAAGGCTGGAGATCTGCATCAGAGAAGGACAGAGACAGCAGGTTTGTAGGTAGGACCAAAGACATCGGCCGTTTCTCACTATGTGGACTTTGGCGTTCTCGTGAAACGTCATCAGCCTCAGTCCGAGTACTGTTCCAGTTCACAAGAACAGCAGACCGAGAACGGACCAAACCCCCGGATGTTGTTCTCGCCCCTCCCTCTTTACCCAGCATGCATCATAGCAGACTTGTCTGTTCTTGAGATTGACAGCTGTCCCAGCATGCACTGCGGCAGCAGCAGCTTTCTATGAAGTGCTCCATTGAAAGTTAAAAGTTCTATTTCTGTTTCTGTTGTTCAATAAAAGGAAGTTTTAAGATCATCTGAGGCGAGAACATTATACTTCAAAGCTTCACTATATGGTCCATTTACCGATTTAATGCGTAATTAAAAAAAAATTGCTGAAGTGGAGAGGATCGCGGCAACCAGCGGACCTCAGAGGGTAACGACAGATGGGCTAACAGTCTGCAGCGGCCAGGGCTGACGTTAGCCCGTCTGCAGCAGCCACAGCTAATGTTAGCCCGTCTGCAGGGGCCAGAGCTAACATCAGTCTGTCTGTAGGGGCCAGAGCTAACATTAGCCCGTCTGCAGCGGCCAGGGCTAACGTTAGCCCGTCTGCAGGGGCAAGAGCAAACATTAGTCTGTCTGTAGGGGCCAGAGCTAACATTAGCCCGTCTGCAGCAGCCAGAGCTAACGTTAGCCCGTCTGCAGGGGCCAGAGCTAACATTAGCCCGTCTGAAGCAGCCAGAGCTAACATTAGCCTGTCTGCAGCGGCCAGGGCTAACGTTAGCCCTGTCGTGGAAACTGTTCTCCCTACGACTTAAAATTGAAGCTAAGTCTTATAAAAATTCAAAGTTTTCAAAAAGCTGTAGAAAAAGTCTTCAAACTATGATCAAAAATTAGGCAGAGGCAACTGAGTCCAGGTCCGGAGAATTTTATTTACAGAACACACATGAGCTGTTCACCGGTGAGCAACTGACTTACATGCAGAAAAGGGCCCTCTTTTATTCACTCCCGGGGCTCGGGGCTCTTTCATCTTGGTGGAAGACCCACCTTCAAACCATATTTTATATTTTTAATTGAAGCCTTTCTTTGATCTATCAAAGCTTTTTCTTCACAAGTCATAGTGACATTTCTTGTAGATCATGATAACATTTAGTGCAGTTAAATCAAAAACACATCATAGTCTTAATCATCAATATGTCAAAACAATGTTTTCATCCAGTGTGACTTATGATCATAACATTACATCAAAAAAGGTCAGCATAAGTTTAAAACTCAAAGTTCCAGTAAAACATCCCTTTTTGTGCGACCAGTACCGCACCGCATGCTTTGGAGATGACAACTCAATATATTACAATTAGTTCAGCTTAGCTGTGCAACCCTGAACAACCCATTCTCAATGCGTCTGTCTTACAAACAGGTCTCATTTCTGCACCCTGGTTTTCAAAGGCCTCAAATGGCCTTGGACTCCCGTCAATGCTCCTGTTCTCCCGCTCATTCTCTGTTTTTTCCCACCCTGGTCTTATCTCTCAGACTTCAAGGCTGTGCTCAAAGCTGCAGCTGCAGAGAGCCTTTACACACACTCTGCTCTCTATCCCTCCACATTTGGTGGCGCACACTCTTTTGGACTCTGTGACCTGTATAACATAAAGGTATTTAGTGTAAAACATTTATTCAATATGTAAAACATGTATCCAATATATTCTAATCATTGGTGCAGATTAATTTACTTCATCAGCCCGTCTGAAGCAGCCAGAGCTAACATTAGCTCTGGCTAATGTTTTATATATATATATATATACAGGTGCTGGTCATAAAATTAGAATATCATGAAAAAGTAGATTGATTTCAGTAATTCCATTTAAAAAGTGAAACTTGTATATTATATTCATACATTACATACAAACTCATATATTTCAGATGTTTATTTTGTTTAATTTTGATGATTACAAATGACAACAAATGAAAATCTCAAATTCATCATATCAGAAAATTAGAATATTACTGAAGACCAATAAAAACAAAGGATTTATAGAAATGTTGGCCAACTGAAAAGTATGAACATGAAAAGTATGAGCATGTACAGCACTCAGTATTTAGTTGGGCCTCCTTTGGCCTGTATTACTGCAGCAATGCGGCGTGGCATGGAGTCGATCAGTCTGTGGCACTGCTCAGGTGTAATGATAGCCCAGGTTGCTCTAATAGTGGCTTTTAGCTCTTCTGAATTGTTGGGTCTGGTGTATTGCATCTTCTTCTTCACAATACCCCATAGATTTTCTATGGGGTTAAGGTCAGGAGAGTTTGCTGGCCAATTAAGAACAGGGATACCATGGTCCTTCAACCAGGTACTGGTAGCTTTGGCACTGTGTGCAGGTGCCAAGTCCTGTTGGAAAATGAAATCTGCATCTCCAAAAAGTTGGTCAGCTGCAGGAAGCATGAAGTGCTCTAAAACTTCCTGGTATGTGGCTGCGTTGACCCTGGACCTCAGAAAACACAATGGACCAACACCAGCAGATGACATGGCACCCCAAACCATCACTGACTGTGGAAACTTTACACTGGACTTCAAGCAACGTGGATGAAGTGCCTCTCTTCTTTTCCTCCAGACTCTGGGACCTTGATTTCCAAAGGAAATGCAAAATTTACTTTCATCAGAGAACATGACTTTGGACCACTCACCAGCAGTCCAGTCCTGTTTCTCTTTAGCCCAGGCAAGACGCTTCTGACGCTGTCTGTGGTTCAAGAGTGGCTTGACACAAGGAATGCGACAGCAGAAACCCATGTCTTTCATACGTCTGTGTGTGGTGGTTCTTGAAGCACTCACTCCAGCTGCAGTCCACTCTTTGTGAATCTCCCCCACATTTTTGAATGGGTTTTGTTTCACAATCCTCTCCAGGGTGCGGTTATCTCTCTTGCTTGTACACTTTTTTCGACCACATCTTTTCCTTCCCTTCGCCTCTCTATTAATGTGCTTGGACACTGAGCTCTGTGAACAGCCAGCCTCTTTAGCGATGACCTTTTGTGTCTTGCCCTCCTTGTGCAAGGTGTCGATGGTCGTCTTTTGGACAACTGTCAAGTCAGCAGTCTTCCCCATGATTGTGTAGCCTATAGAACTAGACTGAAAGACCATTTAAAGGCTTTTGCAGGTGGTTTGAGTTAATTAGCTGATTAGAGTGTGGCACCAGAGGCCATCAATTTTGAACCTTTTCACAATATTCTAATTTTCTGATATGATGAATTTGAGATTTTCATTTGTTGTCATTTGTAATCATCAAAATTAAACAAAATAAACATCTGAAATATATGAGTTTGTATGTAATGTATGAATATAATATACAAGTTTCACTTTTTAAATGGAATTACTGAAATCAATCTACTTTTTCATGATATTCTAATTTTATGACCAGCACCTGTATATATATATATATATACATATATACATATATATATATATACTAGGGATGGGACGATTTATGAAAACCGTCAGAATCGTTCGGTTCGATCATGTAAACAAAATGAATCAAATCTGTATAAGTCTTTAAATCTAAATCTAATAAAAGTCGGGCATCCTAAGAATTGGCTCTGAAAGTTTGCTGTCAATAAGAAATCAAAATGATGTTTTAAAACAGGAAATCAGATCAATCAGTTGGTCCCATGAAACCTGAAACATTCTTGTTTTCAGTCAGTGGGTTTATCTGGAAATCTGTCGAACACGTCTCTTCTCTCTGACCGTACCGAACGCCAACCCTAAGATGGCCTCTCTGTTGTCACGCCTATCGCCCAATGAGACGAGATCTATCGGTTTCTAAGGGTGCGAGCAGCTGTGTCCACATGCTGATGCTGAGCTGATCTTCTGTTAATAAGAATAAACACTCGACTGAGGAGGCAGGCCCCAACAGAAAGCAGGACCCCACAGAAAGCAGGTCCCACAGGATGCAGGTCCCCACAGGAAGCAGGTCCCACAGGATGCAGGTCCCCACAGGAAGCAGGACCCCACAGAAAGCAGGCCCCCACAGAAAGCAGGTCCCACAGGATGCAGGTCCCCACAGGAAGCAGGTCCCACAGGATGCAGGTCCCCACAGGAAGCAGGACCCCACAGAAAGCAGGCCCCCACAGAAAGCAGGTCCCACAGGATGCAGGTCCCCACAGGAAGCAGGTCCCACAGGATGCAGGTCCCCACAGGAAGCAGGACCCCACAGAAAGCAGGCCCCCACAGAAAGCAGGTCCCACAGGATGCAGGACCCCACAGAAAGCACAACCCAGTCTCATGGGAAAATGTACCCCCACTACATTGGTCCACACTGCAAAACGTAGTGGAGGTACATTAATGGCCATTTTTTGTGATACTGTTACATTTCTTCTGCCTATACGCTTTCTATTGTTTTACGTCCTAGTCACGTGACTTTCAAGATTCCAGCTGGGAGAAGAAAAAAATATATATATGGCAGAAATTCGCTCATTTTTTTGTGGAAAGATTAATGACTTGAGTTTGTTTTTGCATTAAAATGAGTTTTGATTACATTTCTAGTGAGAAATGTATAGTTTGTTGCCAGAATATTTACTCAGGGAATGTACATATTCACTTGCTTGTTCGTTTCTTGCAAAGATTTTTCAAGATAATGTGAAACTGTAACATTTTGGTATAAACATGGCTGAGATTTCTCTAACTTTTAGTGGGAAAATCAATAATTTCAATCAGTTTCTGCATTTAAATGGGTTTTGATTACATTTATAGCGAGAAGTGTAGGGTTTATTTACATAATATTTACTTAGTGAACATACATAATCACCCGCTTGCTAGTTTTTGCTACGGTTTTTCGGATCTCGTCAGGATTATGTGAAATTGCAACGTTTTGGCTGCTACCCATCGCCTAGCATTTAGCTGCCGCGCCGATTCAACATTGAATTCTTTGTGACTTAACTCCATCTGACGGATCAAACCCTCGCCACTGCGTGCGTTGCGTCTGAGGTTGA